TGTCGATTTTTGGGCATCTTTAGTAACTCAACTCTTTCTTTTTACCCTTTCATATCACTGGAGGCACCACACCGTGCTGGATGGAGCACTGGCTGGTTCAGGATTCAGCACCGGGTCCCGTGCGGCTGTCACTCACTCATCGTGCCCCGTAGAATATGTCACTTGACGCTCTGCCTGGGGCTCAGTTTCCCAGACTGTGCACCAGGGGACACTGCTATGCACTGCACAGAGTTCTTGTGCAGGTCAGATACTGCAATAAGAGAATGCAACACACGTGCAAGATCATGAGGGCTCCACCAGCTCGGATCTTTCAGAGACCAGAGGACCCTGTGGAGCGAACACAGGAGAGAATGTTCCAGAGAAAAGAGGCTTCTCCTAATGCTGAACTCTCTGACGGGGCAGCCCAGGGGACTCGTTAGCTAATGGAGGTTGGGATCTCAATGATTTCTTACTCTTCCTGGAAGCTGTTTGCCATAGAACAGCACAATTATTTTTAGCAAAATCACTGTTTCAGACAAGCAAGGTAACTTTTAATCTCTTGACTATACATGCTGTGGGCCTAAAGAAGGAAGGCTTCTTGAGAGGTTTTTTTTGGAGGATTTTTGTAATTCCTTGCTTCTTGAGGGGGGTCCAGGTGTTCCCCGACCCTGGTGTTGAGGCCTGATGGGGTCAAGGTTGTCTAGACTTAGGGCAGACTCAGCATGGGAGGCCGCTAGGCTCTGGTGAGTCCTCTCAGAGGGGGCTTCATTTGGACAATGAATCTTCTGCACCAAAAAAAAAAAAAAAAAGAAAAAATCAATAAGAAAACAAACAGCTAAGTTAAAAAAAAAAAAAAAAAAGATGGGTAAATGATTTGAACACACGCTTCACCAAAGAAGATATTCAGATGACAATTAAGCCCATGAGAAGATGTTCCACATCGTTAGTCACTGGAGAAATACAAGTTAAAACAGGGAATTTTACCATATGTAAATTTAAAGATAAATTTTAAAAACATGTGTGGGACTTGAAGGGATTTTAAAGTTCACCTTGTACTGTCAGGCTAGGCTCCACGGCTGGAGGCTCAGAGAAGCTGGTCTGTGCATACGGCTGAATTAAACTGGCCGTCCTTTGATCCTGGCATTGTTGTTATGCTTGCCACCCTCCCGGTCCATCCCTGATGCTCATGGCTCGGCTCCAGGTAGCAGCCTGCGGCCCCCAAAGGGTTGTGCCCTGCTGTGCTGCCTGTGTCTTCTGTTCTCAGACGCGGGTCAGGGGGCTGTGACTGGGAAACTAGGAATTGGTGCTCAGAAGAGGGTAACCTAAACCTCACCCCTTCCGGAAAGCTTTGCTTTCCTTCCACAGGGGCAGTTGCTCGTCCTATATGTCCTTGAAATCCTTCCTTCCTTCTCTCCGCCTGGGAGGCAGGATAACGTAACGGTAACTGCACAGGTTTTAGCGTCAGAGAGCCCTCGGTGAGAATCCTGGCACCGGAGCAGTGATCTTGGGCACGCACTGCAGCCGCTTTTGGTCTCAGTTCCTTCATCTCTAAAGTGAGGACAATAATAGTGCCTACCTCATGGGGTGGCCGAAGGATTCAACAGTAAAAAGCATGTACAGCATGCGGCCCAGTGCCTGACGGAGCGAAGCACGCAGTAACTGGTGGCTCTTATTATAATCATCTTGGCCACAGCATTTACCACGTTGTAATGCAGCGATTATTACGTGCTTGTCTCTCCTCTCGGCCGGAACCTGATGAGGACTGGAGCTGTGTCTTGTGGATTTTTGTATGTCCAGGGGCTAGCCCTGTGCCTGTGTGTAAGAGATGCTCACTGAACGTCAAGTCCGTGGATGGGTTAACTAGTGGGTAGTTACCGGGATGGGATGCTGAAAGCTTTTATCCCTGTCGTGTCCATTGCCGTCGCCATCATCAGAAAGCCCTGGGAAGTAGCTGTTACCTCATGGAGCTGAAAGGGAAGCCACGCCTCGGAGCCTTCCTTCCTTCACGGCTTCCTCCCGGTCAGGAGGCTGCCTGCCCTCCGACTTGCTCGGCAGCTTGGAATCCCCAGGGGCTCCTGTCTTCTTCCTTCCAGCACCAGCTGCCTTTGTTCCCTTCAGTCCAGACTCGCCTCCCAGCACTTATCCAGGGCCGTGGGCACAGGTCAGTGCTGGGGATGGGCCTGTACCGGTGTGTCTCCAGTCACAGCCATAATGTGGGGGCTTGACTGGGTCAAAAGATGGTGAATTGTCTTCACAACTGGATAAATAATAGGCCCAAAGATTGCTGACGCCGGCCTCGTGGGAGCTAGGAATAGCGAGCTTCGGGCTCTGCTGTTGGTCCAGCTCAGTTTACATTTATATCAGGGTGAATGTGGATGTGGATATTGAGGACCTTATGTGCGTTAGGATTTGTAGTTGGGAGATAGATTATGTCTCAATAGATTGGCCTGATGGACCAAACTGAATAGGGAGGAAGTGAAAGGAACAAAGGTCAGTTCCTGCTCTCTGGTCCACCAAATCCAACAACGTGTATGCAGAATGAGGTGGACTGAGTTTAACTGAAGCACATGAAACAGACACAGGGCTTTTAGGCAACGCAAGGTCAGTATGAGGCCAGGGATGTGATGTGGCCACAGAAAAGCTAATGAAATCAGGTTGCGTTAACAGAGGCACAGGCTACAGAAGAGAGGAGGTGAGTGTACTTTTGTCTGTGTGCCAGCTGACCTGACCTTGAATATGGTGTTTAGCTCTGACAGTCACATTTTAGTACAGACATTTACAACCTGTAAGGTCAATGGAGGGCAATCGGGATAACGAAGCACCTTAGCGCCGGTTTATGTAAATAACAGTCGGAGAGATTAGCTTGAGGAAGAAAGATTTGCTGGGGTCATGATAGCAGAAAGTACTTAAAGGGGTTCCTTGTGCTTTGAAGAGTGATTTGCTCCATCTTATGTGCCTCTGAAGCAGTGCTGTACAATAGGACTGTCTGCGAGGATGAGAATGTTTTGTATCTGAGCTATTTACTAGCTACTAGACAGGTGTGGTTTTCTGAGCAATTCATATGTGGCTACGAACTGAATTTTTAACTTAATTTTAACTAATTAAAATTGAAATAGCCAAATGTGGCCCCTGTATTAGTCAGTGCAGCTCTAGAGGGCAAATAAAAAAAATAGACCAGAGGTTGGCAGCTTTTTTGTGTAAAGTGTAAGAAAGTAACTGTTTTGGGCTTTGCAGACCATATGGGGTCTGTTGCAACTACTCCACTCTGCGGCAGGGTGAAAGTATACATAACATATAAACGAATTAATGTGTGTGTTCCAATAAAGGTTTATTTATGGAAACAAATTTGATTATAATTTTTACAGGTCACACAATATTATTTTTCTTTTGATTTTTTCAACTATTTTAAAAGTGTGAAACCATTCTTAGCTCCCAGGTTGTACAAAAATGGGCGTCCGGCTGTGTCTGGCCTGCGGGCTGGAGGCGCTGACCCTGGCTTCTACTGTGGGTGGAAGCCAGGGGAGTCAGGTGTAGGGTCAGCAAAGGAAGGCAGTGATCAATGAGAGGTAGCCGGAAATGGAATGAGCATCCTCAGTTAAGTGACGAGTTTCTTGTTACTAAAAGGTTCAAGTACAGGCTGGATAATTACCTCTCTGGCAAGGGATGATATAGAAATGTGTCTGTTTAATCCAAGTTATACTAGAATTTTCTCCTAATTCTGTAGGAGTATTGAAAGCAGGGTGACGTGACTGCTTTACAATTATACTGCTTCATAGAGGGAAGTAAGCCGTTTTTCCTCTCTTGCTGCTTGCTCTCAGCCCCATGTTGCTGGAACAAGGACGCTCGGGGGTGGTGTGCTGGCTTCATGGCCGTAGCAAGTCCCCAAGTGTTCAGGGGCCCATTTACGTGCAGCCTAGGAGGGATGCTGCTGACAGTCCACACCCTAAGAGAGGACACTGCACTGGCCAAATACCACCTCGTCCTGTCATTGAGTCCCCTTCTGGGGACGAGGTGTCTGGGATTGGGAAGTTAGCTCTTTCTGTGGATGTGCTGTGTCTCCTGCTGTGGCTGCAGAAGGTTGCCTCCAACATTCTCCCCTCTAGACAAATGGGGAAACTTGTGGCTCTCTGGGGAGCTTGGAGTCTCTGTCCAGAATGAACTGGAGGCCCCGAGTCCAATGGATCAAGCTGTGAAGCCTGGACCCGACTGTCCAGCCTGTGGACAGCTCGAGATCCGGTTATTGTTGTTGACTCTGCTTTCTTGTTTTTCTCTTCTCCCTTTTGCTTGACTTTTGTCTATTTTACTTCCAATCAGCTTCTGCGCCAAAATAAACAAAAAAAACCCCAGCCCTTCCTGTAAGCAGAGAATCTGAAAGTGCTGGTTTGAAGTTTCAGTTTTTTGTGCCTTTATCCAAACTCCAGCCTGCCCTCGCCACAGTAGAGTTTTCTCGACATCTTTGTAAAGCACAGAAGGCTTAAAACGTTTATTTGGGGGATTTTTAAATTGAGATATATTTGACACAAAGCACTGTGTAAGTTTAAGGTCTACACCACATTGATTGGATATGTTTCAATTGCAATGTGGTTGCCGTTGTAGCGTGGGCTAACACCTCTATCCTGTCACAGAATCATCATTTCTTCTAGTGTTGGGAACAATTAAGATCTAGTCTCTTAGCAAGTTTAATATTTATAATATAGTTTTGTTGTCTATAATCACTGTGGTGTGTATTAGGTCTCCAGGACTTATTTATCTACTAGTTGGAAGTATGTACCTTTAAGCAACATCTCTCCCTTTCGCTGTTTTGGGGGTTTTTAAGCATACACAGAAGCAGACAGAGAGTACAGTCAACCCCAAGTGTCCGTCACCAGCTTCGACAGCAACCAGCTCCAGGGCAGTCTGGGGTCATCTCTTGCCCTCTTCCCACCTCCTGCGTTGTTCTGGAGCAAATCTATAGAAAGCTTTGACTTGCTGTACGGACTCACCTTGGTGCTAATATCTTGATTCTGTGTATTCTGTTTCAGATAATTGCCTTTGACGAGTTAAGAACCGATTTTAAGAGCCCCATAGACCAGTGCAACCCTGTGCATGCGGTAAGTAGTGGGTGCTGGTGACGGGCAGGGTGGCATCACCACAGGCCACCCAGGGCCTGTGAAGGAGGGTGAGGATTTGATGAGTTGGAGGAGTAGAGCATGTGCTTGGCACTGGCTGGACCTCCAGGCTTGGCCTAAGGTTGTCTAGGAGACTTCTCATTCTGGAGGCCTGCTGAGGTCTCGATTTATCTTGCAAGTCAAGTGTGACAGTCCCAGGAACCCAGGTGGGAAGGGTCTGCTGTGCTGTGGCCATGAGTCCTCAAGGCCTTGTCTTGGTGTTTTTTGGTTACGCATCCTGAACAAAGAGACAGGCTCCGTGTTGGCCAACATGTTGGTAAGGGTCTGGGAGCATCCTTAGTGGTCGACCCCACTCTGTGCTATGCCAGTTTCTCCGAGGGAGACTTGCCGGGTGGGTGGAGGTACAAAGCTCCCAGCCCCATATCTACTACCCGTGAGGCAGTCATCTAAAGGGCCTCTGTAGGCCCGAGGTCAGCTCACCTCCCACTGGGGAATCTGAGGCCGTCTGGTGGTTTGCTCCAGGTTTAGCATGTGAAGGACCCTCTGCCCCAGCGTGCGCTCCTCCAGGGTCTTAGTGCTCCATCTTGCTTGCCAGCCCGTGCATGCTACCCTCCCTTCTGTCCTGGAAGGGATGTAGAAAGAGGCCCTGATGCAGGGAGAGAAGGACCTCACTTCTGTGCGGGGTGGGTGTTGCTGTCCAGTGCAGCCCATGTCCCAGAGCCCGGGACCAACCCTGCGTGTGGACAGAGGCTTTTCCCAATCATTCTGGACCAGCCCTGCTGGGCTCGCAGGATGGAGCACACCAGTTCGTTTGAGTGTGTCTCTCAGTCTAAACTCACGGCCTGGGGTTGGTTGAATTCCTTCCAGCCCCTGGTTTCCAGGGCTAAGGCGAGTTTTGTTTGAATAGCTCTGTTGATATTTTCAGTCCAAAGTCGTGGAGAGAACACCAGCCTCTGCTGGTATGATACCATCATAGCCTGGAAGGCTATGGCGTCATTCTTTAGCGACAAGGACAAAGAGCTCTAGTCGCCATAGCTGCAGGCTCCATAAAGAAGGCTGTGCTCTGAGGGAGGCACCCAAAGACCGTTTGGTGGGTCAGTCCTCAGCAGCCCCCTCTGTAAAGTAGAGGCTTATTACTGGACTTGTAGTTCTTTTGTTTTTACTGTGTGCTAGGAACTTTGTATGTGTGGTCTATAATTCTCTCAACTGCCACACAGGCGTCATTGACCCAAAGTATAGAGTCTTATCCAAGGACTCTTGGCTCATGGGTGGTGAAGTCAAGATTGGAACCCAGCTCTGCATGTCTTCCAACCCTGTGTTCTTCCCACCGACTCAACATTGTCTCTTTAAGAGACTTGATTTTATCATACCCGAGGCCCGTTTTGGCATCAGATTCTTTGATTCTATGAAATAGAGCCAAACTCTTTCAAAATCAACTGTGTAAAGCAGAATTTTGTTGCAAGTTGAAAGAATCCCTAAGATCCACTTGGAAACTTACTGTATCTCGTGAAACTTATCATTGTTAAAATCTGTTTTGTTTCCCTCTGCTGGCCTCCCCACCCACCTGTGATAACCAGGCTCCACCAGGCCTGAAAGGGTTGCATCCTGGGCCTCGTTTCTTTCCGGATGTTTTTGTGTTTGGCACCGACATCACACACCTGGCTCGTCTATATTGACCAGGTGCACGGTGCTGCCTTAGTCCGAGGGAGCACTTCCCTTTTGGAATGCCAGGAAAGTCAAGAGCCTGCTTTCCGTCCCTCCCAGTTGTTTGGGCTCAAATTAGAAAGCAGCTCATGGGGCCTGTCTGGTGGCACAGCGGTAAGTTCGTGCGCTCTGCTTTGGTGGCCTGGAGTTTGCTGGTTCAGATCCCCGGTGTGGACCTACGCACCGCTTGTCAAGCCATGCTGTGGTAGGCATCCCACATATAAAGTAGAGGAAGATGGGCATGGATGTTAGCTCAGGGCCAGTCCCCCCCAGCAAAAAGAGGGGGATTGGCAGGGTATGTTAGGGCTAATCTTCCTCAAAAAGAAAGAAAGAAAGCAGCTCACTTAGGACACCTAGAGGTTTCTTGTATGATCCCAGGGTAAATGCCAGTGAAGAAATGGGTATTGCAGGTGACTGCTGAAACCATGAGGCGTTTTCATGGAGCCCGTTTCCATCTTACCCTGGCAAGTTCCTTAGTTCCGACAGAACAGAGAAAATTAGGCCTAGCGTGAGTTCCCGGGAGCTTCTGTGAAAGGTTGCAGCCAGGACAGAGCTGCACACAGCTGGTGATCGGTAACTGTTGATGAGAGAATGAATGGATGTTGGAGGGGGGAGCTGTGTAGCATGGAAGCTGGAGCACAACTGTTTACTCCTGTTATTAAAGCCACACTTCTAATTAGTTGATGAATTAATTAAGTAGCCTGGGCCCTGAAGGCCAGACATCTCCTGGACAGACGGAAGCTGCGAGGGAAAGGATTCTTGCCTGAGATTAAAATACAGTCCGTAAAAACCCTAAATGGAAGAGTATTCGACGCATTTCCCCAGTTATTAACGATGTTACTCCCTGGCAGGAGGTGAAACGCTTTGACGCCTCATTGAACTCATATTTGAGCTCTTTAGGCCTCTGAGGAGCCCCTGCAGTAGCATTTCAGGATCAGGTGGCTTGAAAAAGCTTCTTCGCTGGTGGGTGACTCCAACCCTGGAAGGACTTGTGCTACAAAGAATCGCTGATCGATGTGATGCATTTCGAAATGAGCGTGCCTGAGGCCCGCTGGTTCTTTGGGTTTAAGGTCCCCTAAAGCTCCAGATATGGCTGCACCCTTTGGGTGGACCCCGTCCAGGAGGAGGAATGCTCTGTTTTACTTCTAGTTTCTCATGTGAGTGCTTTCCCTCCCTCTTGCTCCTGGGCATTCGGTGTCCCTGTGACGTAAGGAGAAAGGATGTCCTGCAGAGAGGCTCTGACTTGCGGGGGAAGGAGCTAGTGTGTGTCCTGTACCATTTTGGTGTATGCCTGGTATCTCACGCCTTTTCCCATTATTCTCCATTTAGGCAGCCTCGATGCCCAGCTGCGGGTGTGTGTTTGTGTGTGTGCAAGTGTGTGTATGTTGAGGAGGACGTGGTCTGTCTTGCTAGCCACATGGACACTCTTTCCTCTGGGCTTAAAGGATGCACAGGAATCACTGTATTTATGATTCCGTTAGGCAAATTGAAGCGTCCCAGCCACCTGTCTTCTCCAGATCTCTGAGGAATCTCATTAGCATCACAGCTACGCCAACCAAATTGCCTCAGTAATGAAGCACCGGGAGACGCCACAGCTGTGTTCCGAGTGGCTCCAGAAATCGAGACAGTCACTGCGAGGAAAAGAGAGCCAGCATTTGTGTGCGATGTGAGCACTATCACCTGCCCAGCCACGGGGCATCTTCCCTCGGCAGGGGGCCAGACTCCGGAGGTGGACTTCAACATCTTGAAAAGTCCTAGCCCGGGGGTGCTGCTGGTGTCTAATTTAGGGGGGAGAATTCTTCCTCTAAATACAGTCACTTTATAAAAATAAAAGCGGGGCCGACCCGGTGGCGCTGTGGTTAAGTTCGCACGTTCTGCTTCTTGGTGGCCTGGGGTTCGCTGGTTCGGATCCTGGGTGCCGACATGGCGCCGCTTGGCAAGCCATGCTGTGGTAGGCATCCCACGTATAAAGTAGAGGAAGATGGGCACGGATGCTAGCTCAGGGCCAGTCTTCCTCAGCAAAAAAGAGGGGGATTGGCAGATGTTTGCTCAGGGCTAATCTTGCTCGAAAAAAATACAAAATAAAATGTTAAAAAAAAAAAAAGAAAAAGAAAAGCAACGGGCAGAGAACTTCCCTCCTTTAGCCGCTAATCAGGGCACACATGCCCTTCGAGACCCGAGTCGGAGGGCTGGCTGTGAGCTTTAGGGCATTCGGTGAACACATGTGCCCCGTCTGCACTTTCGCCATCTTCCGGGTCCGTGGAGGCTGAGCCAGACTTTGCCTGTAGGAAAACGTACAGAAACCTCCCCTGGGCTGAGAGAGAAGCTGAGCCCCTCCTGTTTGCTGGGAGAGTTTGGTTAAGAGCAAATCACTGTGACAAGGTAGATGGAAAAAAAGCCAGAAGCTCTTTTTTTTTTCTTTCCGTTTTATTGAGATGTAATTGATGTACCTTGCTGTATGTGTCTCAGGTGTACAGCATAATGACCTGACTTACATATATTGCAAAATGATTACCACAAGTTTAGCTGGCATCCATCACCTCCTATAGATACAAAAAGAGAAAAAAGAAAAAAGTTTCGTTCCTCGTGATGAGAACTTTTAGGATTTACTCTCTTAACAACTTTCAAGTACACCACAGCCGTGTTAACTGGTCACCACACTATGCCTCACATCCCCAGGACTGATTTACCTTCTAACTGGCAGTTTGCACCTTTGACCCCCTCCCGCAGGTCCCCTCCCCACCCTCTGCCTCTGATAACCACAAATCTGATCTCTTTTCCTATGAGTTTGGTTTTTTCAGATTCCACATATCAGTGAGATCATACAGTATTTGTCTTTCTCTATCTGACTTATTTCACTTCGCATAATGCCCTCTGTGTTGTGGCAAATGGCAAGATTTCATTCTTTTTATGGCTGTTTATGGCTGAATAATATTCCATTCTGTGTGTGTGTGTGTGTGTGTGGGTGTACACCACATTTTCTTTATCCATTCATCCATCGATGGGCACTTAGGTTGTTTCAATGTCTTGGCCATTGTAAATAATGCTTCATTGAACATAGGGGTGCATACATCTCTTTGACATAGCGATTTCATTTCCTGTGGATGTGTACCCAGAAGCGGAATTGCTGAGTCACATGGTAGTTCTGTTGTTAATCTTTTGAGGACCCTCCATACTGTTTTCCATAGTGGCTGCACCAGTTTACATTCCCACCAACTGTGCACGAGGGTTCCCCTTTCTCCACATCCTCACCAACACTTGTTATCTCTTGCCTTTTTGATGACAGCCATCCTAACGTGTGTGAGCTGATATCTCATTGTGGTTTTGGTTTGCATTTCCCTCATGATTAGTGATGTTGAGCATCTTTTCATGTACCTGTTGCCCACCTGTATTTCTTCTTTGGAAAAGTGTCTTTTCAGATCCTCTGCCCGTTTCTTAATTGTTTGGTTTTTCTGCTATTGAGTTGTATGAGCAGAAACTCTTGTTGGGAAAAGCCACTGGGCGCGAGCATGCAAGCCAGCTGGCTGGGAGGGGTCTCTGGCGGTTCCTGCCTCCTCTACTGGGGGCTGGATGTGGGGGCTTCTCTTGGTCTTTCAGCAGAATCTCTAACCTCCCCTCTCCCTTCTTTCTTGTGCATTCTGATAGAGGGAACGGCTGAGGAACATCGAGCGCATCTGCTTCCTTCTGCGAAAGGTCAGTGCAAAAGCTGCAGGCCAGCGGGTGGACAGTCACATGGTCACGGGTGGGCACAGAGTGGAAGCGGCCAGCGAGGCTCAGTGCCTGCTCCAGTCCTGTCTCCCAGGAAGGCGCATGGCGGTGGGGGCGGGGGAGGTGGGAGCAAGTGATGATCCATTCTTTGAAAAGCTCCAGAGGCAAGAGGAGCTAATTAAAAGGGGCGGCCATCAATCAAAGTGTCAGGGCAGCACTGGATATTTGCAGTGCCCTCTGGTCGCATTTAGAGGCTCTTTCTCTTTGCTGGATGATGGATGGCGATTACAGCTGGCGCTGCCTCACAGCCTTTGTTTCTGTCTGGTGCTGGGCTCGGAAGTGCCCCCGCCCTACTCAGGGAAGTCTATCTCTGGATGCTGGGTTTCCTTTGAGGTTTCAGCCTGCCCCTCAGCTTTGCAATCTGATTGACAGCATCACTGGGAGTGTCAGAGGGGCGGGAGGGGAGGTGTTATTATAAGGGGAGCCGAGCATTCAGAGTTGCTCTGAATGGATGGGTAGTAATTTGCAGCTGCCCTACATGCGTTCAGGAATAGTCGTCTGTGCACGTGCAGCTCCAGCTTAGTATTTAGCATAACTCTGTGGCATAGCTGGGGAACCCCTGTGCCAGAAAGACCGATCTGTCACTCTCCAGTCAGGAAAGTGCGTGATTTTCAGCAAAGTGTAGAGAACAGCCGCTTGCGAGTAAAAAAAGCAGTGTCCATAGCCTTGAGCCAAAGGACAACTCTGACCCCTGTCCAGAGTGGATGGGCTACAGGCCATGGGAAAGCCACCTGCGGACCTAGAAGGAGTTTTTGAGGCTTATGTGAATAGGAGAGAAACCAAATGCCATGCCAACATTGATAGGAGGGAAGCAATTATGCAGGCTTTTGAAATTTTTTCTGTATTTCAATAATGATACCTTTTGTTGGGAGAGAGAGCTTAATCAAGAAGTTAATTTTTCTAGCTAATTACTTGTACTTTAATATTTTCCAAGAAACTCATTATGTTAGAATGCCGCATCTTGTATGTCAGAGCAGCAAAGTATTCTCAGGTAATGAAAATACTAGTGACCTGAGGAATAAAGAATGATTAAGAAAAACCATATGACATTTGGTATTAAGGGTAATTCATGAATTTGTCTGTTATTTTCCCAGATAGTATCTTGCATACCAGTAACCTGCTCCAGCTGTCACTTCCATGGTCTCTGGTTTGTTCTTTAAGCCTGACACCTAAGTGGCCTAGAGTGGATGAAGACTAAATCAGAGCTTTGTCTTTCAAACTCCACGTTGCCCTTTTTTCCCCATCCTGGGTGTAGCATCCCGATTTCTCTGCAGAGCGGTAATCCATATCCATCACACTGTAGCCTAGCTCATCCTTCTGTATTCCCTGACCCTTGACTGCGGCCAGACAGTAGGCGATGGCCTGTGATGGCCTCTGCCACGGTCCTGCTGCCCACAGCCCTGCACCTTTCAAAGATCAAAGCCAAGGATATGAAAAAGTACACAGGCTGTGCAAGAATTAGCATTACTATTTGCAAATTTGCATATAGTTTGCATAAGTTTCTGTAAACAGTAGACTGAAGTGTTTTCCTTCAGGAAACATGGTACCCCACGTACCTTTTTCTGTTTTTTGCACTTTTCATTTATTTCTTCTTCCCATGCTGCTGCCACTGCTGCTTCAGTGAATGCAATTGCTATTCATTGTTAGCGGGAAAGACCAGGGAGGAAAGTTCGAGAGAGACGCACGAAACACTGCCTTCAAGACTTTAGGTGTTGTCACTGTACCTCACCGTCCGTTCTGCAGCCTGACAGTTTTCTCCCTCCCGCGGGAGCCACACTGGCCAGTGCCCCTTGATGACCTTGAGGCTGACATAAGCCGCTTTCCTTGTGGCATCTTCTTCCTGCTCCAGTGCTCTTGTGGTTAGCACACCTTTCCTTTCAACACCTGGCTCTGTTGGCTCTTCACTTCTGTGTGTCCTGGATACCTGAGGTCATTGTCATTGATGTCCACATGATTTCTTTGTGGACGTAATTTCAAGTTTTCAGTGTTTCGGATGGTCCGTCCATTGAGGTCTTGCTGTCCCTCACATGTTTTTTAGCTTAACTGGGTATCTGCATTCTCACAGACACATTCAGTACTGGGCATGCGGGTCTGACTCCTCCCACTAGAATGTAAGTTCTGGAAGGACAGTGACTTTGTTCCGTTCACTGTCACATGTCCAGTGACACAGAAGGAAGAACAGTGTGTCACCTGCTGAAGGTGCTCAAAAAATATTTATTCAATAAGTTAATGAAGGAGCGCTAAACTCCCGGCACTTCTAGAATCTGAGTCCTTCTTGCTGGGCCCACTGGGATAACAATCAGTAAGCTTTTCATTTCTTCATCTCCATAGTGTCCGTGATGCGCACAAAGCATATATGTTGCTGCGTGTATGAGATTTGTGTTTTAAAATCAAATTGAACTCCGTATTGTATTCGTTATGACGCAGAAGGTTACCCTACAGTTTCTCCCATCCCATCGCTTTTCTTCCTGTTTGTGCCCTCTGCCCTCTTTGCAGTCTGTTTTGTACTAATATCTTTTCTCAGCCGATTCTGGTTCCTTCCACCGGAAAGGTCATGTAGGGGGTGGTGAAGTGCGCAGCTTTCTGCTGCGTCCCGATCCGGCCTCTGCCCTGCTTATCTGTGTCCTCTCTGAAGTGGGGGAATAAGAACAGAAACCTCCGTGTAGAGCTGTTGTGAGAATTAGATGAGAGATACATTTGTCTCTAGCCCATAAATGCCCCGTATGCATTACATGGTATTATTCTGATTGCTGTGACCCTCAGCTGCTGCCTGAAGCCCCTTATACCGTCCCCAGGCACACACTTGGTTCTGAGGCAGGCCGCACCCCCCAGCAGCTCCTCCTGTTTTCTTAGGTCAGTGCCATTTGATGTTGGGCGCATCACGAGGTGGGGCCCCTGGGCCTCCGCCCTCTCGTTTCTCATTCTGGATGGGCTTCTGTGCTCAGATTCCCGAGCCGTGAGCACACGTTGGGGATCGTGGGGAGGGTTAATGGGTCTAGTTGGCACTACCTTCCGAGAACTGTACCTTCCAAGAAATTTCTTGGAACTCATCTCCTAAACACCCCGGAATGTGCTGCATCTCAGCAGCTGATTGTTGTTAAACCACCTCCTCAGCTTTCTCGGGAGAAGGGAAGGGATTTTCAAAGTGGATCCGTTTTTAGCTCTGTAATTATCAGAAAATGTGTTCTTTGGGTAATTGTCTGAACCGCAGGATTCTTGTGTCGACTTGTGCTTGTGACTCATTTTTTCATGGCAAGAGCCGCTTGCTTCTTGCCTGCTCTCGCGCCTGGGGCACGTTACCGGCTCTGTGGGTCGCTGTGAAGTACAGGTTTGGGGCAGGAAGCACCCTGGAAGGCAGAGGTGGCTCCAACGGCTGCTTTCAGGCACATAAAGGGTCCTCGTTGGGGAGGAGACTGACTTGGGGCCTCCTGTTGCATCCCTAGAGATGCAGGGAATGGTTAGAGGAAATGAATTTGAGAGCCCGAGGTTGGAATGAGAATAAAGAGAAACTTTCTCAGAAACGGAGGTCGTCAAACCTTGGATCGGTTGCCCCTGGGCTGTGTGACATGCTCGCCTCCCTCAGGCTGAGTTAGACAACCTAAGGTCTGAGGTGGTTTCCAGTTGGCCTGCCTGAGAGGGGTACTTAGTTGCATAGTTTGGGATGTCCCTTCTGGCATGACAATTCTGTGATTGTCCAGCTCACCCCCGATTTCCCCAAGAGTGTGTGTCCTGTCTTACCGCAGGTTTTCTGACATTCGTGGCTGTGAAAAGCTCTAGCGGATGGGTAACTTTTACTCTGTCCGTTGGGCAGTCACGCTGGGATGTGGAAGAGGATGGTGAGTGGGCAGAGGTCGGGGTGGGTGGAGGCGTTAAGTTTATTGGGGAGGTATAACCAGGCTGGATGGGGAGCAGGTGCTCCACGCTTAGTTCTGGAAAGAACATGGCAGGGATAAGGCCACAAGCGTTATGGCTAATGGCCACCTATGTCCCTCCCCCTTTCATGCTTCTCAAGCTCACACCTCTGTCTTAGGGGAGGTGTCGTGGTGTGAAGTGAAGCTGAATGGTCGAAGCCTGACTCCACTGCAGGAATTCCATGCTGTGGCTCTGAAAGCAGGAGTTGGAGGCCGTGGGAAAGGGATATGACACTTCTATAGTTCAGGGTCAGTTTGTTAAATGAGAAGATTGCGTCATCGTGCCCACTTCTTCACCCTCCCCTGTTTCCGGGACTGGCTGTATAATTTGCAGGGCCCGGTGAAAAACGAAAGCGTGGGGCTCCATGTCAAAACATTATTAAGAATTTTATGAAGCTGGCAGCAGAGCACTCAACCAAAGGCGGGGCCCGTCCGAGTGTGGAGCCTTGTGCAAGTGCACAGGTCACATGCCCTTGAAGGCGGCCCTGCCTGCATCTGTGACCTTTGCCATAGGATTCACAGTCCTGCTTAATGCAGAGTATGTTTCTCCTCCCCACTGGCGTTGGGCTCTGCCATGTGATGAAATTTGTCCACTGGAATGTGAGCAGGCCCGTGAGTGTGTACTGAGGCTTCAAGAGTCCCTGGGTGTTTCTGCTCTCCCTCTCGCACTTCTGACATTGCCGAGGCCAACCCACTGGTTCGAGGAGCCTGAGGGGCCCCTGTAACTCAGACAAGCCTGCCAGCTCAGGTGACCCCCAGTCAACCTTTAGATACGTGAGCAAGTGTAAATGATTGTCATTTGAGGCCCTGAATTTTGGAGTGATTTGTTATGCAGCATTCTATGGCAATAGCTAGCCGAGACTGTGCCACTCTGACAAGGGGGAAAATCTTTTCTTTTAAAGTGGTTTTATTCTGTGCCACAGAGCAGCCATTTGCTGACTCTACAAACTTATAAATAGACAGTTTTAGACTCTGTCCCAATTTCTTTGACCTGAGAGGAGGCTACTAAATGCA